CACCTTGTGTCAATCTTCTCCTTACTTATGTTCTGGTTGTTTGACTTCCAGCTACTTGCTCTCCCTGCCCTCAGCCTTCTCATCTCTGCTTTAAAGTAGCTGTTGACCCTTTGGTCTTACATGTTGTTGCTGTTGTGTGTCTTAGAGCCTATTCCAACTCCTAGTCCCTACAGGACAGGATGGAACTGGCCCAGAAGGTTCCTGAGGCTATAATCTCTATGGAAGCACACATCTTTCTCCCACAGGGCAGCTGGTGGGTTTGAACCACCAACTTTCCAGTTAGCAGACAAGCACTGAACCATTGCCCCACCAGGGTTGCTTTGGTTTCACTTAGATAATAATTATAATTTTTAATGCAATATTCAAGGGTGACAATCTTTACTCTTTGGGCTAAACAGTTGCTATGAGTTGGAATAGATTTGATGAGAGTGGGTTTTTTTGTTTAGTTTTGTTTTGTTTTTCTCCCAAGGGATAGTTTCAATTCAAGGTTTGAAGACAACTCAGCACCACAGGGTTTTCAGTGGTTGCTTTTTTTGGAAGGAGATCATTAGGCTTTTCTTCCAAGGCTAGGTAGGCAGGAACCTCCAACCTTCCAGTTAGCAGCTGAGCGTGTTAGCTGTTTATGTCACCAAAACAAACCACATTCACTGCCATTGAGTCAAATCCGACTCACAGTGACCCCTTTGGGTTTCTAAGGCTGTAAATCTTCATGGAAGTAAATTGCCTCATCTTCTTCCTGTACCATAGGTGATGGTTTGAACTATCAGCCTCCTGGTTAGCAGCCAAAATGCCTTACCCAGTATGCCACCAGAGCTCCTTTTTGTACTACCAGGGACTCCATATTATTATATAGCTACATGTAATTATAATTACATATAAAATGTATAACAGCGTTATTACTTACTAACTGATAGAACTAAAAAAAGATGAAGTGACTTGCTTTGGATGAAGCTTGGCCCAGGAGCTAGCTGCCTCAGCACCATCAGAACTTGGTCTCTAACTAGTCTGATGGCTACCAGAAGCTCCAGCCCTGTGTCCAGGTTCCCAGCTGCTGGAAGAGAGAGCTCCTTACTCCCCACTGTTCACACAGAGCTTCCAGGCCAGATTCTTGGGGGATGAATTGGGGCATACGCCTGCATCTGAGCCAATCACTGTCCCAGGGAGGGAGTACCCTGATTGGCCAGGCAGCAGGGTACTCCCCAGGTCTGCTCCTCACCATGGGGAACACACCCAATGAGAGCAGAGGAGGGGCTCCCCAAAGGAAAGTTGAGGTCTTGTCACCAAAGGAAGAAGCATGGATATTGGGCAGCCAAGCAGCAGCCACAGATGCACACCTTGGAGTCCAGTGTCCACTGACCCGATGCATCTCAAAGGCTCATGTCCACACAAACCCTCTGGGGTCATGTTAAAACACAGCACCTGACTCAGCAGACTTTGAGTCTTAGACCACACTAAACCACATGAGCCAGACACTAGAAAACATTGTTGTTAGGTGCTGTCGAGTTGATTTTCGACTCACCGCGACCCCATGAGTAGAACTGCCTCATAGGGTTTCCTTGGCTGTAATATTTATGGGAGCAGACCACCAAGTCTTTCTCCTGCAGAGCCACTGGGTGGGTTTGCACTGCCAGCTTTTCCATTTGCAGCCGAGTGTTTAACCATCACACCATCGGGGCTTCTCTACATGCACTGTTTAGTGACATTGACTGCAGTCTCCACATTGTGTAACCATTCTCACCCCTCCTTTTCTGAGTTGCTCCTCCCCCATTAACTGAATTCACTGGTCCTTAAAGTTTCTAACTAATCTTTTGAGTTGCTCTTGTCAGTTTGATCCCATAGAGATAGTTCTTCAAAGATTACAGTGCTCCAGGCAGACAGTTTTTACCAGTGAAGCTAACTATTGTTTGGTTTTAAGAAGACTTCAGGGGATATTTTTGGTTTAAGGCTTAAGATTATCTGAAGGCAGCATTTTCAGGGGTTCATCTAACCTTCATGGCTCCAGGAAGTCTGGAATTCATGAGAATTTGAAATTCTGTTGTGCATTTTCCCCCTTTTGATCAGAATTCTTCTATAGCATGTTGTTGTTAAGTGTCGTCGAGTCATTTCTGACTCATAGCGACCCCATGCACAGCAGAACAAAACACCGCCCGATCCCGCGCCAGCCCCACAATCCCTGCTATACTTGATCCCATCATCGCAGCCACCATATCAGTCCATCTCGTTGAAGGCCTCCCCCTCTTTCGTCGACCCTCCACCCTACCAAGCATGACATCCTTCTCCAGGGAATGGTCCCTTCTGACAACATGACCAAAATAGGTGAGACGAAGTCTGGCCATTCTTGCTTCCAAGGAGCATTCTGGCTGCACTTCCTCCAGGACAGATCTGTTAGTTCTTTTAGCAGTCCATGGTACTTTCAGCATTCTCTGCCAGCACCACAACTCAAAAGCATCAACTCTTCTTCGGTCTTCCTTATTCATTGTCCAGCTCTCACATGCATACCAGACGATTGGAAATATCATGGCTTGTGTCAGGCACACTTTAGTCCTCAATGAGATATCCTTGCTCCTCAGCACTTGAAACAGTTCCTTCGCAGTTGACTTTCCCAATGCTACACGTCGTCTAATGTCCTGACTGCTGCTTCCGTTGGCATCAATTGTAGAACCAAGCAACGTGAATTCCTTGACAACCTCAATCTTCTCTCCATTTATTGTGATGCTGCTCATTGGTCCAGTTGTGAGGATTTTTGGTTTCTTTATGTTGAGATGTAATCCATACTGCAGACTGTATTCTTCAACCTTCATCAGTAGGTGCCTTAAGTCATCCTCACTTTCAGCAAGCAAAGTTGTATCATCTGCATATCTCAGGTTGTTAATGATTCTTCCTCCAATCCTGATACCACGTTTTTCTTCATATAGTCCAGCTTCTCGGATTATTTGCTCAGCATATAGATTGAATAAGTGTGGAGACAGAATACAACCCTGACGCACTCCCTTCTTGACTTTAAACCATGCAGTGTCCCCTTGTTCTGTTCGAACGACAGCCTCCTGGTCAAGGTACAGATGCCTCATGAGTACAATCAAGTGCTCAGGGATTCCCATTCTTCTCAATGTTGTCCATAATTTGTCATGATCCACACAATCAAATTGCCTTTGCCTCTATAGCATAGATGATCAAAATGTTCACTAACGGTAGCTGGGCACCATCCAGTTCTGATCTCATGACAAAGGAGGAAGTTATTCACAGAAGCATTTAGCCTCACATTCCATAACCCTCTCCTGTTCCTGTCTCTCCTTATTACTCTGTTGTTCTAGATGAACAGAAACCAGTTGTTGTTGGACGGCCGCTTGCAAGCTTTTAAGATGCCAGGCACTACTATGCAACAAACTAGGAGATAGAACAGAAGCGCTAAACATGTTATTAGGCCAGTTAACTGGGATACCCCATACAAACGTGACCCTAAACTTCCAAACCAAGAAATAAATCCCATGAAGTTTTTGCTTCTACATAAACAGGCTCTCAGCTACTCTTTCTTTTCTTTCTTTGGTCATTGTTGTAAATATATCTACCATACAACTTTTGCCAGTTGAGTTTTTTAATAGGTGTACAGCTTATTGACATCAATTACAATAATCAATGCAGTACCTCCATCACTGTTAACTCCTCCTTTTTCCCCTCCCTCCTGCCCCTAATAGATTTTGTTCTCTATATATTTGTTTATTCTGATCTTTGTCTATCAGTTAGGTCATATATCATTTGTCCTTTTGTGGTTGACTTATTTCACTCAGTGTATCAGTGTAATGTTTGCCGGCTCCATTCATCTTGTAGCATTTATCAAGACTTCATTTCTCCTACTGGTTTAGTCCAGTGTGTGTGTGTGTGTGTGTATATATATATATATATATATATATATATATATGCATACACCACATTTTATGTATCAGTTCATCCATTGATGGACATTCAGATTGTTTCCACTGTTTGGCTGTTGTGAATAGTGCTGCAGTGAACATCAGTGTTCACATCTCTGGGTCTCTGCTTCAAGTCCTAGGGGTGGAATCGCTGGTCCATATGGTAGTTCTATGTTTAGTATTTTGAGGAACTGCCACAGTTTTCCACAATGGCTATACTACTTTGCATTCCACCAGCAATGGGTAAAGGTTCCATTTTCCCCACATCCTCACCAACATTTATTATTTTCTGTATGTGTATGTTTAATCTTAGCCATCTTAGTGGGAGTGAAATAGTATCTCATTGTGGTTTTAATTTGCATCTCTCTCATTGCTAATAACGCTGAGTATCTTTTCATGTGTTTAGTGGCCATTTGAACATCCTCTTTGGTGAAATGTCTATTCAAGTCCTTTGCATCTCCTGTAATTCTTACAACCACCCTGAGACATGTTGTTAGTTGCCTTCAAGTCCATTCCGACTCTTGTGTTAGCTGCTGTCAAGTTGGTTCCGACTCAGCGCCCCTCCGTACAACACAATGAAACACTGCCCGGTCCTGCACCAGCCACATGACTGTCGCTGTGTCTGAGCCTATTGTTATAGTCACTCTGTCAGTCCATCTCGTTGAAGGTCTTCCTCTCTTTTCACTGACCTTCTGCTTTACCAAGCGTGATGTCCTTCTCCAGGGAACGGTCCCTCCTGATAACATGTCCACAGTTGAGACAAAGTCTCACCATCCGTGCTTCTAAAGAGCATTCTGGCTGTACTTCTTCTGACTTTTCATGATCATCATACCCGTTTTATGAAGGTGGAACCTAAGGCCTAGCGAGGAGCAGTAGGGGAAGGCTAAGCCCTGGAATTTTGGAGCAGGAGCTGAGATGTTAGGATGGTTAAGACCAGGAGGAGTTAGGATACCAGTCTGCTGAGGCTCAGAGGTAGCTGTGGACAAAAATCTCATGGAATAAGGGACATTCTGGAGCCAACTGCCTGAGTGTCCAGAGTTCTCTGTCTAGCCTGTGGGAACATTTGATTTATCTCCTCTTTTCTTCTTGCAGCCTTAACTATGGAGGAGTCTGCCTGGCATCAGATGCCCAGTTTAGTGACTTCCTGGGCAGCATGGGGCCAGCGCAGTTTGTGGGCCGCCAGACCCTGGCCACCACACCAATGGGTGAGTGTCCCAAGGCCTGTTCCTAGGCAGAGGGCTGGCCCACCCCAGCCAAGCCCTCAGAAGGGTGTGGGGGTTGTGTTCTGGTTTTGTTTGGGGCTAGGAGTAGGGGAAGAGGAGGAGCTGAGTCCTTACTGAGCTTCTAGGTCATTTCCCAGACTCATCTCTTGCAGGAGACGTGGAGATTGGCTTGCAGGAGCGGAATGGTCAGCTCGAAGTGGACATAATCCAGGCTCGTGGCCTGACAGCCAAGCCAGGCTCAAAGTCACTGCCAGGTATGGGAGCTGCCCACCTCTCTGTAAGGCAAGAGTAGAGGTTTGGGCAGAAGATCCAGAGAGGGGCTCTGGAAGGAAGAAGGGCCCAATTATGTAGGACCCCTCTGTCCCTAACTTAGTGACTTCCATGGAACTGGTGGTTTGGGGCTCATGCTGGGACTCTATTGTTGACCTTGTCGGTCTCCCCACTGGACTGAGCTAGAGGACAGGGATCATATTTCCTGTCATTATACCTCAGTGTCTAGAAGGATTCTTGGCATGCAGCAGGAGCTCAGCAAACATTAGCTGAGTGAGTGGGGCAGCAGTTGAAAGTATAGTCAGGGAAGAGGTGGGTGAATCAGGGCTTAAAAGGTGAGTATAGGAGTGAGCAGAGGGAGTGGGGGAGGCAGTGAGGACCACCAGAGGAAGGGGGCAGGTCCCAGCCACCTGCTTGCTCCTGTCGCCACTTCTCCTGGCCCCATGTGGGCTCTCCAGTCCCCAGCAGTGGGTGGAAGGGCTTTCTCTGCTGCACCCTTTGCCCTCCCTGTGAGGGGCCGGAGCTAGCACTGACCCCCACTGGCCTCTGTCCCTAGCGGCCTACATCAAGGCTTACCTGCTGGAGAATGGTGTCTGCATTGCCAAGAAGAAGACCAAAGTTGCTCGCAAGTCACTGGACCCTCTGTATAACCAGGTGCTGCTGTTTCCTGAGAGCCCCCAGGGCAAAGTCCTGCAGGTGAGGGGCCTGGTGAGGGAAGGGGAACGGTCTCTGGAGGGCCTCCCTTGGTGCAAGTAGAGCACTGTCGACAGTCTGAGTGCCACGACTTTCTGTGTAGCTTTGAACATGGTCCTCTCTGAGCCTCAGTTTCTTCTTCTAGAAAGTGAAGGTGAAAACCATTTCTACTTGATAACGTTACTATGACTGGGCAATGTGTTCTTTGTGCATTCGCAAGGTTGACCTGTAGTAAGTGCTTTACAAATGGTTGCCCCAACTACTCTTATTACTAATATTATTATTAGTAATCTGTGGAGGGCTGTGGCATGACCTGGAGCACTAGATAGCAGACTGAGGGGCTATGTGGCTCCTGGCCATTAGGACAGTCCTATTTTTCTTTTTTAATTTATTTATTTTTATTTGGGTGAAGATTTACAGAGCAAATTCACTTTCCATACAGCAGTTCACATATTCTTTGTCTCATGTCATTGACCACAGTTTACCACAATGCAACAGCTCCCCTCCCACTTCCTCCCCACAGTTACCTCTTCTCAGTG